ACAACCTCCAAACACTTAACTAGATCAAAACTTAGAAACACCCTTCCCCCAGCAAAGGAACCACCCAAGTCGGCAACGGCGACGCCAACAGGTGCCCATCCACGCAAACCGGGCCACAGCCCCGAAAGCCAACCCAGAAACTGCCACTAACGCCTAACTGGACCAACACCGAAGGACCGACCCAAATCCAAATAGCAACCAGACCCGTACCCGGGAACCACCCATCACTCTCCACCGCCAAAGACAAAACCTTCGACCTAGACCACCAGAGCCCAGACCTCGGCCTGACTTCGCCAGTTATCCTCTCCAACCAGCACCAGGGCCGGACGGGACACGCAAAGGGGATGGGCAGAAAACACCACCCTAATTCCCGACAAAAGTGAACTGAAGTCGCTGCCCCCTTCCAATAAAAATGCCTGAAAGCCTTCTTAATAAAGTTGGCAAGAAAAAGGCACCCTGCCACGCTGCGTAGCAACCAGAAAGCGGTCAAATCGAGTCGGGGGACGGGCGACGCCTCTACTAGCGGAACAACTCCGCCTCTTGACGATCCACCAGGAATAGGGCCGCGAAGCACAAGGGCGCCGCCGCCGGGGCCTCGGGAGGCCCCGCTAGGGGAAGGCACCGGGAAAACGCAAGATTAGAAGTCGACGACTCAATTTAATTTTAATTATTCATTCACTTATATAATTATAACTATCAATCGTTTTCAATCACATCTATCGTACTTTACATCAAATCAATTTTAATCACTTTATTTTAAATAGTATTTTAATACACTCACTCAAACATAATTCAATCAACATTTTCAAAATTAACTATGATTTTTCAACAAATTCAATCAAAACCAAAAGAACTTATATCCTATCATCCCCATAAAAATCCAATAATCTTTCTCTTTTTTTTTTTTGAGTGTATAAAATTTCAGTTTCATTCACCAATCACAACTTAAGTACTGTAAAATGTGCAAGAGTATGTTAGTATATCATAAAACTCAATTCATACTCAATTCACACTAAAAATCTAACTAAATAAGTCAACTCCATTATCTTCAATATTATCAATATAATTAGATCACTTCACATCAACTTTAATTTACTATTCATCCACTAATATAATTTTAATTAACTATCATTTCACATCATCTCTCTTCTACTTTTACATTAAATAAACTTTAATTATTTTATTTTAAATATCATTTTAAAATAGAATCAAAATCCCTCTAACATTTAAATATACCACTTTTTTCAAAATTAACTCTGGTTAACAAAAAAACTTATTTTAAGTGGAATATTTTTATACAAAGACGTCTTAGTGATTTGCTGATTTTGACTCTCTACCAATCACCCTCTTAATGTCCCACCAATTTTTTAAACATCACAAATAAATACCCCCTAAATAAACGACCAGTAGTCAGTTGCTATAGATTGAATTAAAACCAGATTATTTATTGAATGCATGTATTTTTAATAAGATTAGTATTCTGTATTTGCACCGATATTAATAAAATATTATAAATTATTTATATGCATATAATATTAAAATTATAAGTTAGATAATGATAGTAAATTTTAAACATATAGTATTATAAATTATATTTATGCATATAATATTAAATTTATAAGTTAGATAAATGTATTATGTTTTAAAATTTGATCATTGATTAAAATAAATAGTAATTAATTATTTGATTGCATATGAATCACTATAATGATCGCATAAAATGTATTAAACAATGTAATATTCATAATTTTGAGAGATAGTGACCAAATAATTTGCTGAAAAATACTAAATTTATTATAACAATTGCTTATGCAATATTAAGGGATTTTACTATGACAATAATATAAATTAGTTTATTTAAATAACAGTCATTTAATCAGATAAAAATATATAATATTGACTTTAAGATAAATAACTTGAACAAAAAGTTTTACAATATATTTTTTTATGTTTATGTAACTTTCATATATCATTTAGTATAAAATATAATTATTAATTCTAATAATACCTATTATATGATATAATAAAAAATATAATTATTACTCAATTATATAAAATGTAATGATTTTTGTCTTAATTAATAGAATTAATTTTTAGAAAGTTGGTGCACATGTAAGTAATTTTTATACAATTATTACATTTGAAATTCATACATGATATTTATATGCTTATAAATAATAAGATTCATATACTAAATAGTAGTAGAATACCTCCAAAATTTAAACTAAAAGAAAAAAAAGATAAAAATATTTAACTAAAGTTTATATTACTATTGACTTGACATATCTATATCTATAAAAAAATGTTTGGCATTTATTTAATATAGTAACTATAATTTACATCTCAAATTCATAATTTACTATACATAGTAAGCTTGCACAAAATATTTATGTAAATGCTTTCTATATTCATTTTTTTGCGTTTTTGAACTGATTAAAAATTGTTGATTATTTTAAATCGGCTTTTGGTTACTCTTTTTTTTTGGTTAAATGTTTTATATTATTTTTTGAGTTTTATTTTCTTAAAACAAAATCATTGTGTTTTTCTTCTTTTTTATGCTTTTTTTAACAAATTTGGATATCGGAATTCCGCGATTAAGTTTCAAATTATTTTTTTTAGTTTAAACACAAAAATTATATTAAAATAAAGTTGATTATTATTTAAGAAATGTAGAATATAAAAAACATTAACTCGCCTACATCTTGGCCATATAAATATTCATGAATATGAAGAAGTAGGCGACTATGCAAATTATAAATATTCATGAAGTTGAAGCTGCATTTACTAAAAGAAATAATGTAGGTTGCAAAATCCAAAAGCATGTATAATGTTTTACCCTACAAAATTCTTGTAGAACGGCCCAATAGGAAAACAAGTTATTGCATAGCAACACATTCTTGGGTGTGATTGTTTATCGATCCAATTAAAAAAAAACCAATCAAAACTCAAATTTAACTCAACTTTAACACAACTCCACTATTTCCATTATTACCAATATAATTAAATAATTCGAACCAATCATTCTTACACATCACATCAACTTTAATTCACTATTCATCCACTCACATAATTTTAACTAACCATCATTTCCTACATTTTTCTCTTACTTTTACATCTATCAATTTTAATTATTTTATTTTAAATATTATTTTAATATATCCACTAACAACTAACTATACTAACTTTTTTCAAAAGTAACTATAGTTAAAAAAAAACCAATTAATTTCTAGTTGAAAAATATTAGTATTATGCAAAATTAAGCTACAAATGATAATTGTGACGTGCTGCAACTATGCAACTATCTTGTTACTTCATCACAATTTTTTTCAAAATCAATACACTAAATTATAACATTACTTTTTATTAACCATTATATCAAAAATATTTTCTTGCATTTTTCTATTCTATTTATTTTTCAAACCATCTTTAAAGTTACATAAATATTGGAGATGTTAGAATATCACTTGTGGGTTGTCCCACATGGTTTATACATAGAAAATAGACCTAACTTATAAGTTTAGTGGACTATTCTCCCTTCCACCAATTGGTTTTTGGATGGAACCTCATTAAAGTGAAACTAGGTTCACCCTATTATGGTGCGCTTCATCTGGTGGGACCGCACCCTCTTCCCCCGGTTCTAATAGGAGATTGATTGAAATCATTCCAATTATCTACTCTACTTTAGTGTAGAGCTTATTCTACTCTGAAGTAGAAAATGCAAAAATTAATTTTTGTTTTTAGTCTTTCGCGTTATATTTTATTTTATATGTAATAACTGTTACCGATTTTACGGCTCTATATTTCATAAGTGGAAGACTTGAAAAATTCTCAATACCATTTCAAGGTGAATGAAAAATTAATTCTAAGTTGCATACGTGTGAGAAATGTAATGTTGAAACAATTGAGTTTAAGTAACTCAAAATATTGGATTCGCAAAACACTCTGACTTTGACAAATGTTAGGATAATCCAAAATATACATGATCATGCAATTTGCATGCTAGTACTCTAGAAGAGGGTTAATTGGAAACGATTAGGAAAAATGGAACTCGATTCTGAGTCCGGATGAGCTCGTACGAGCCTGAGGCGCACGGGCGCGCAACTGGCCGCGGCTAGCGGAGGGTTGCGACCCTTGGTGACCATAAGATGTCTTCTGGCATCTCCATGAGTTCGTTCTCGTTCGAGCACATCTCAATAGGTGTCTTTTCACACTTAAACATCTTGAAGGTGTTTTTCTATATGTATAAATACCCACGTACATGAAATTATTCATAACTTGAAAATTAAGAGCTCTTCATTACATATTCAAAGTTCATAAAACATATTGCTTTCTTTGATTTTTTCGTTGAGTCTTGAGAGTTCCAAACATAGCGCTACATTTGAGCAATGTTTTGGCACTGTTCTAAAATAAAGTTCCTACATAAAGAACTATAGAGTTGCGCCTAGGCGCGACCTAGAAATTAAGATTAAATACCTTAATTTTTTTTTACTACCTCCAAAATAAAACTATCTCAACTTATAATAAATCCACACACTTAAATCTAAGTAATAAAATTAATCTATTTTAAAGAAAATATTATAATAAAATAATGTAATTAGTATTTAAAACTTGAAAAATTGACGCCGAGACCGCCCAGACGCCACCTGACCGTCGAGCCCATCTAGCCACCGGGCCAGTTTTTTCAGCCGATTCATGCAAATTGAAAGTCGACTGCCTAAGTCGATTTTTAGAATATATAGTACTATTTTTCTTGGGTGAGAAAGCATACAAACATATCAACCAAAATACATTAAAATCCTCACACAAGAGATTAATAGAAGAACAAATACAAAGAAAAAAGTTAATTGAAAAATAAAAGTTTAAAATAATAATAATAAAAAAAGAACATGGAAAAGAGGACAGGCGTGAAAGACCTCTCAGACAGCTGCTTAAAACACTCCCTCTGGTTTAGCCCTACTGCCCCCTTTCCTCTTCCTCACTCTCTCCACTCTTTGCAGACCATCCCANAAAATTTCTATAAACAACATGATACAGAGCCCAAGATTCAATCTTTTTTTCTAAAGATAATGAGCAGGGGCCCTTTCCCCTTCTTCTCGCAAGAAGAGGATCAAAATGTTTTCCCATCTTCAAAACCCAATCTTTGACGCCCTCTACTGCGAGGAGGAGCGTTTCGATGATGGGTTTGTCCTCAAAGACTCAGAAAATAGCGATTTGGACCAGATTAAGAAAACCCCTTTTGCTCTCTTCGAGCACGACCTCTTATGGGAAGACGACGAGCTTGCCTGTCTTTTGTCGGAGGAGAAGAAACAGGCTCGCCTGATTCGTGACGTGATAGAGTCAGATGGGTGTCTGAAAATGTCGAGGGATGAAGCCGTTAAGTGGATGCTCAAGGTGATTGGGCATTACGGGTTCGGCGCGTTGACCGCTGTCTTGGCTGTTGACTATTTCGATCGATTTATTGCAAGCATTTGTTTCCAGAGGGACAAGCCGTGGATGGGTCAGTTGGCCGCCGTTGCCTGCCTTTCGATTGCTGCCAAGGTGGAGGAAACTCAAGTTCCTCTCTTGCTAGACCTACAAGTATGTTCTTTTTGTCTATTTGTCTGTTTATTTATTTTTATTTTATTTATTTATTTTTTGTGTGTGGCAGTGTGGGGCAAATTTGATTGAGTAATTTATCTGGGGTTATTGATTTGAGTTTCTTTTTAGTAACTTTTTGCTGGGATTTTGTTATATAGGTGGAGGAGTCTAAGTATTTGTTTGAAGCAAAGACCATTCAGAGAATGGAGCTTTTGGTTCTGTCTACACTTAAATGGAAAATGAACCCGGTGACCCCAATCTCGTATTTCGACCACATTGGGAGGAGATTTGGGCTTATAAAGAATCTGCATTGGGAGTTCTTGAGGAGGTGTGAGACTGTCATCCTCTCAATCATCACTGGTAGGTTTATTCGGACAATCGATTTTCAATCCATACGCTTCGTGTATTGCGCATTTCTAATATATCTGCATAATTTCGTAGATTGTAGAATGGCCCATTACCCTCCTTCTGTCATTGCTTGTGCCTCAATGATTCACGTGATTAGAGATATCGAAACCGATGATTATCTCGACTACGAGAGTCGGATCATAAACGTGCTTGAAACTTGCAAGGTTGGATTATATAATTTTATCTTAAAAATTTCACAAAGGTGAAACAAGAAGTAGATCAATTAGGTAATTAGGTAATACTCACATTCTTGAACACGATTGATATCAGGAAAAGATTGACAGCTGCCTCAAACTTATTATGGAAGTCTTAGATGATCCTGGCCGTAGATCTTACGGCAAGCGCAAGCACATGTCGACACCTGGCAGCCCGAGTGGCGTGATCGATGCCTATTTCAGCTCAGATAGCTCGGTTGACTCGTGGGCAGTTGGGTCATCAGTTTCATCATCTCCCGAGCCAGTTTTCAAGAAGAGCAGACCACAGGATCAGCATATGAGGATGGCTTCACTAAGCAGCTTCTCTGGTTGGCAATCCTAATCGCACTTGGGTTAAATTGAGCTCGTGTTTTATTTTTTCTTCAATTAACTTATTTATATGATATTGGCGATGCTGCTGCTACTCCGTGATTTTTATTTACTATGCTGCAACAATTCCTAGAATAATTTGGTGCAATTATGTTTATGTGACTGTGTTGTGTTCGTATGGTTCGTGTAATTTTCTTGCCAATCAATCCCATGTGATGGATTTGATATGTTTTGGCAAACTTGAATCTTATCTATCGCTCCCTGTTTGATTGGGGATGGAAGTTGAGATTGGAGGAGAGGACATTATTGAGAAAAAAAAAAAAAAATTATGCTTGAGACGCATTATTTGATCTTCGTTTTCATTCTCCTTTCTTTCTCTTGGTGATTGCATTATATGATTGAACAATTTTATTTAGAACATGAAATTGGGACTTTCGGGCATTAAGAACTAATGTAGGCTGCTACACTATGAAGGCCTTCTTCAAGACTTTCTTCTTTGTTCTTATAATATATTAATTTTTTTGAATGTCATATATAAGTATATATATAGTATTTATTTACATATATCTAGGTTATGATCAAGAGTGAGGGACAAAGGTGGGTTTGTCCCAAGCATTTGGTTTGTTTTGCTGAAAGGAGGAATTCATGAATTAAAGAAAGGTTTCCAATGTAGGGACAGGTTGGCAATGGACTTTGTGCTTCTTAAATTGTTTTACCTATTTTTTTTATTTAAATCTTTACTTGTTTTGTTAGGTGTCTCGATGAAAGGACCTATATTGTCCTCAAGTGGGACTTGAATAGCGGTTTCATACGATTTTTCTTCCTTGGATTTGGGCCTAAATGACAAAAAAATTCTCCCTTGTGCATAAGGTGTCTATAGTGCCTGAAAATTCTAGTGTTTTGCATAGGTTATCATTATACCATAGGATTTCGGATATCAACAAGATTCGAAACTGTTTTAACTCTAAACTCTTTAGTATAACTTTACTTAGCCAAGTGATTTAAGTTTGAGGATACTTTTTAAATTTGTAAGTATTTTTTAGTGTTGCAATTGTTTTAATTATTTAGGTTGGAGATAATGAGTAGAGATATTAAATGAAATGACTAGTTCATTATTTCGGCTTTTTTGATAGTCAACTCGAGTTCGAGCTTGTTTATTGTTAACTAGCCAAGTCAAGGCTTGAGAATAGGGTTTTTTTTATGTAATTTCTCGAACTCGTTGCTCAACTCGGTTAGTTAATGTTCGAATTCTACTGGTTAATATTAATAAATTGGCCAAATTAGAGCTTGTTTATCGGCTTGTCTTAAATTTATAATTTAGATAATATATATATATATTTTTTTTTTGGTATCATATCTGATTTTAGTTTGTTGTTTTTATTGAAAATGGTTGGTGAAATATAGGACCATGCAATGGTACAGATAAGTCTTACAATTTTGGACCAATAGACAATTGCACAACAACTATTCAATGTTAGATTCGGACAGGTTAAATTTAATTTCTGAGAAATCAGTTTTGGAATTTGAAACCAATAAAAATCTTATTTTTTGTGCTAGTACGTTGCAAAGTAGGTAGTATATCATTACAAACAACACTTAAAACTAATATTTGGGATTTTGAGACATAAATTTAATCAATAACTACTTGAATGCACCAATTGATGGATAGAAGAACTGAAAATGAATTGACAGCGAATGTGTCTATTGTGTTAGAAAAATATACTGTTATTAAGTTGAGCATTCATTACGTGGGGATAGATTTTTTTGACCCGTTGAGATTTTACTGAAAAAAAAAAAGAAGAAGAAAAAGGTACAATCATTTGGTAGAGTTGCGTGCTAAGCCCAATGGGACCAGCCCGAATTATACTTATCGATCACTGTATTTTGACCAAATCAGATAAAGAGAAAAAANTATGTTTATGAGCATGTGTACATACATTATATATGCGATTGAAATATTATAATATAGAGGGACGTGGATGATAAATACATACATCTTAATGTGCCAATAATGAGTAGATACGCATATTTGGTAAGCAGAGCAAATCGATAAACAGTTACCCGAAATACAATTCTATTTTAAATTTAAATAAGTAACATATAAATATCAGTTTGCATGTATTTAGGTGATCTAATTTGGTTCTATCTGTCATAAATTTGATCAAAGCATATATAAGTTGTGAATTTTTAAAAGTTAATATTTATATTCAGAAAGGCAAGAGGCTTTGAATTCTCGGTGGTACAACTTGATAAAATAGGTTTCTCAACATCAAGATTTTCAAACCTATGCCTAAATTGGACATATGAAGTGAATATGGACATATGCTCTTTTATTCTTTTCACTATAATATTTATTTTATTATGTTTAGGAGAACTGATTTTAACTTATAAGGTTACTGGGATAAATTGGGAATCGCTTTTTATATGCAACACAATTTCAACGAGGAATATGTATATATTCAAGTAAATTAAATATCAAAATTATATTTATATTGTTATTACCTTAGATCAATCATAGGTGAAACAATTATAGTTATTTGCAAATCATATGACAAGTATAATTAATGGACTACTGGTCTAATAAAAAGTAAATATATAACATTACAATATTGGAATATGGAACACAAAATGCTAATGCAAAATTATTATATAATTTATTTTAAAAACTATAAATCTAAGGTATAGTTTTGTTCCGAAGAAAAATATGTTTACTTGATCAAAATTCGAAATTAATTTTTATAATTAATTTTCACTAATCAAGCTAGATGAGAGAAGATTTGTGTTGGCGCGATATACATACCAATACTTCTTTTACCATTTTTCTGAAGTCATTCTTTTGACTTTTGAACACATACAAATACAAGGAAAGGTATTTCAATTGGAAAAGTGAACATACATGAAATTGGAAAGCGCACAACAGTGTAAGCAAAAACAGCATTGTACTCATGTGAGCAAAGGCAAAGGCATGACGAGTAAAAATGGTTGGAAACAGCTAACATCACCTTGTTTTTTTATTCTATTTGTGCATAAAAAATAGAACAATCATTTTATCTTGTGTTTCTATTAATTTAGTTATGTACTGAGACAGCTGAATTATAATAATATTTTTTCAATATTATGACTGATGAGGAATGTGATTTTGTTTTCCAATGGACTTATTTATTCTTGGCCAAAAATATTACAAATGGTCAACTAATTTAGCTTACTAAGGCAATGAATTAGCCGTTCCCTCTTTTATAATGCCATTAATCTGAAATGACACAAAATGTCCACATAGTAGGACTATGTATTAATTTCTTAATTTCTAAAAAAAATTAATATGTAATATGTATGTTGTGTTTAGGCTCGTTTGGGCTCGTCTGAACTCGGATTTGAGTTCCGTTTTTTTCTATACGTAGCTAACAAACTCCTCTATTCAATGATGCTTGCATGGACAAATTATTCTTGAAACCATATTCTACCAAAGCTCTTGACCAATACATTAAACGTGTTCCGCGCGACTTTTCTTTTTGGGCCCGTTCGGACTCGTCCAAGCTCGAAATTGATTTCCGCTTCTTCCTATATGTCGCCAAGGAACCATTCTACACAAACATGATTGCCTGGTCAATTTTCGGGTTAAATTTATTTCTCACGGGTTAAATAATTAACAAATCACCCATTATATAAATAGATGGTCCCTGGACCCATTATATAAATAGATGGTCCCTGGAAGATTTTTTAATAGGTGATTTGTTAATTATTTAGCCCTGTGAGAAATAGATTTAACCCAAAAATTGACCGGGAAATCATGGTTGTGTAGGCGGGTTCGTTGGCGACATACAGGAAGAAACGGAACTCAACTACGAACTTGGACGAGTCCGAACGGACCCAAAAAACAAAGTCGTGCGAAATACGTTTAATGTGTAAGTCAAGAGCTTTGAGAGAATATGATTTCAAGAATAATTTGGTCATGTATGCATCATTGAAGAGGGATTCGTTAGCTACGTATAAGATAAAACGAAATTCAATTCCAAGTTCAGACTAGCCCAAACGAGCCCAAAATACAAAACACATACTATATATTAATCTTTTTATTCATTAATTTTGAAATATAAAACGTATTATCAAAAAACGTATTTTTGAAAATTGACCGGGCAAATATGGTTGTGTAGATGGGTTCGTCGGCGACATGTAGGAAGAAGCGGAAATCAATTTTGAGCTTGGACGAGTCCGAACGGGCCCAAAAAGTAAAGTCGCGCGAAACACGTTTAATGTGTAGGTCGAGCTTTGGGAGAATATGATTTCAAGAATAATTTGGTCATGTATGCATCATTTAATAGACGGGTTCATTAGCTACGTATAAGATAAAACGAAATTCAATTCCGAGTTCAGACGAGCCCAAAACACAAAACACATACTATATATTAATTTTTTTATTCATTAATTTTGAAATATAAAACGTATTATCAAAAAACGTATTTTCGAAAATTGACCGGACAGTCATGGTTGTGTATATGGGTTCGTTGGCGACATATAGGAAGAAGCGGAAATCAATTTCGAGCTTGGACGAGTCCGAACGGGCCCAAAAAGTAAAGTCGCGCGAAACACGTTTAATGTGTAGGTCGAGCTTTGGGAGAATATGATTTCAAGAATAATTTGGTCATGTATGCATCATTTAATAGACGGGTTCATTAGCTACGTATAAGATAAAACGAAATTCAATTCCGAGTTCAGACGAGCCCAAAACACAAAACACATACTATATATTAATTTTTTTTTTCATTAATTTTGAAATATAAAACGTATTATCAAAAAACGTATTTTTGAAAATTGACCGGACAGTCATGGTTGTGTATATGGGTTCGTTGGCGACATATAGGAAGAGGCGGAAATCAATTTCGAGCTTGGACGAGTCCGAACGGGCCCAAAAAGCAAAGTCGCGCGAAGCACGTTTTTAATGTGTAGGTCAAGAGCTTTGGGAGAATATGATTTGAAGAATAATTTGGTCATTGATGCATCATTGAATAGAGGGGTTCGTTAGCTACGTATAGGAAAAAACGGAACTCAATTCCGAGTTCAGACGAGCCAAACAGGCCCAAAACACAAAACACATACTTTATATTAATTTTTTTATTCATTAATTTTGAAATATAAAACTATTATCTATATACATTTTATTTTTTAATTATTGATAAAACATATTATCATAATATATTTTATTTTAATAAAGGATTTTATTTTAATTAATATTTTATTTCATTTAATAAAGGATTTTATTTTAATCAATATTTAATTTATTTATTAGTAATAAAAAAATACACAAATAATAAATATATATATTATATAATTTTGTTATAGCATTTTGGATAATTTGTGATTGATATGTCAATATAATGAACCAAGTTTGATGCTACACTTATATAGCATACCATTTGTGTAAATATGTCAAATTAGTGGAACATTTATGATATATTGCCTTTATTCTTAATTAAGTTTGTCTCACTTATATATATGCGGATATCTCCTTTTCGCATTGTTTGATTACCTTTTATTAAATGTATCAATTCAAATTAAAAAAAATGAAATAATAGAAAAGATGAAAAATAAAATTGTTATCACATTTTCAATTTGTTTTTGGCTATGCATATGTAAGCAGAAAACAGTTTAAATCAAGTTTTAATGAGGCATGGTATATCATCTGAATCCTTTTCAATGTGCTACCAAATATTGTGAAGAAACTGTCAGTTTATTGAATATTGACGTACTAATGTAATAATATGTGGGGCAATACAATATATGGGTTCTCTATTGCATAAATGCAAGGTGGATTGATGGAAAGATTCATGTTTTTAAATACTTAGAGTAATTAAGAGTTTGACCCATCTTTTGTTTTTGAAATATTTGATCCTTGAATGATAGCTCAAACACAGATTTTAAAAGTATAGTAGTCTGCAACCAACAATGAAGTAAATGCAGGTCAGAATTCAAGCTTGCATTAACAAATATATTTGTTTGAATTTTATTAATATGTATATTGTTTACTAGTATAATACCGTGTATCATATGTGTGCTGAATTAAGAAGCACAATAAAAAATTTAATGGTTTTATTTTAAGAATAGTTTGTAGAACTAAAATAACTTAGTTCTATATTAAACACCACTTTCTGTTTTAATTAAATTTTCAAACAATAGTTTTTCCATCATAATAGTTAAACACTCGTATAGTAATTATTAAATGAAAATGTCAACTCATATTATTATGTTTGATTTG